TTGGATTTCCTGCGTGGAAAATATACAACAAAATATGGCACATGAACGATGTATTCTACCTGAGAGAAGGGCTTTCATTCGCTAGAAACTGAATTTATCGCAAAAGTAAATTAATCGTACAACGTCGATGTTTCGTCGATCATTTAACTTTCGATACTTTTTTTTTATTCTTAATACTAGAACCATTGACGACAAGAATATGAAACTTGCACCAGCGAAATGAAATCGCAAAGAGTGGGGGAAAATCATTTTAAAGCCAACAAGAAACGCAAACTCGAGGAAAGTCATCGAAATATCTAAATCTACGATAAACGCAATACGACATTTTAATTACGAGAAAAATTGCTCAAAAAGTTATTCGAAATTCTTCGAGATCTCGTCCGTACTCCACAATCGTATTCTCATCTACGTAATTCAATTTATTTACCTTCCACGATAACAGTCGTATAACGAGACACGTGTTGTGCGAAATTCACGCGTCACAATAATTAATATTATTAACACTTACTTATATTAACTATCAACTGGTTCAACATGTAAGAAAGTTTCACGGTTTGTAGCTAACTTGATAAAAGATAACAAAATTTACAGTTAATTAACAAACAACAGGATAAAATTATCTTATGCATATATATAGATTTAATTTGACTTTTTCGATGTATCAAACCTTCTTACTACAACTCGATAATTCTACAATTAGTTTAACAAAATTGTATGTACATATATACAGAATGTAGGTGTAAGTTTGTACAACGCGTTGTATTATTAATCTACCAACAAAATGCAACTAAATTATCGACAGTCACAGTGGAACCTCTCTTGTTCGAATATTTTAACGTTCGAACGTTTACCAGTAGTGTTAAACTGTTCTGTGAGAATGAAATAACGTTTGATTCAACTCGTTAAGGATCGACACTTCATTTACGATTATTTTCAATCAGTTCGCATCATCGAATTCTATTTCTCACTATCGAATCTATAACTCGATATAATGATAATTATTATACAGAGTAAAATGAACATGCTTCGACACGCGATGACTGATTCACCGATTCCAAGGAATTCAATATAAAGACTCGGAGCGCAGAATGTTAATGCTGCTCGACTCTAAAAGTTATCGACTATAGAAAGATAAAACTCGTTATCAGATCCACCAATTAATCAAAAACAGTCCAAGGTGTACGGTGCTTGAAATTTAACGTCGTTAAAAATTCAATAGACTCCGCAACTAATGGAATTCAAAAATTAAATATATAAAAAGTATTTTTCTTACTTTTTAACTGTTTTTACAACAGACAACAATGTTTGACAATATGTTCATTTCATTCATTCTGTTCACCTAAATTCTACAATTTTTTAATAAATTCAAAAACATCAATATACTCAGTTATATACCAAGTTTACGTAATACTAAATGACTGCTTGGCCTTATTCAAACATTTCGAAGATTCTCTCAATACATCTTCGTCATCGCATCTTCCATTCGCACGTTCTATTTTCACTCACTGTATCGTTACGTTATCCAAAACACGTAACGTTCATCGTCATTCAAACACGAGCGATTCTAAAGTTCTCCGCAACTTTCAATATAAATTCAACAGCTTTCTATGTATCATCTCTTGGTTTCTATCGCCAGCCAGTCGCTCTTCACGAGATCAGCTCCCTTCTCGCCGATCATGATCACCGGCGCGTTCGTGTTCCCGCTGCAAATGGTAGGCATGATGGACGCGTCGATCACTCTCAATCCGGCGACACCGTGAACCCTCAGCCTGTGATCCACGACGGCGGTGGGATCGCTAGCAGGGCCCATCTTGGTCGTCCCGACCGGATGATAAATCGTCATGGAGATGTGCCTGATGTGGCACTCCCAGTACGCGTCGGAGGCGAACCTCAAATGCCTGCAACCAGGCAATTTGATCCTGTGAACTCTCGTGCCGAACTGCTTGAAAACCTTCGCCTCGCTCACTCTCATGGCGATCTTTGCCCCCTCCACCAGAGTTGCGATGTCCATAGGATCGGCAAAGTAGTTGGCGTTGATCAGAGGGCTGTGAAACGGGTTGGGGCTTCGTAGTCGGACCGTGCCCCTGGATCTGGGCCTCAGCAGCAGCGGCATGATCGTCCATGCGTCCTTGTTGGCGATCGGTCTGTAAACGGTGTCGTAAACTTGATCGGTTATCCCGAGGACCTTCTTCACTTGGACACCACCGTCGGAATTAATCGAGGCCGGAGCCATGTGCAGTTGAATGTCCGGGTGATCGATGGACAGATTCGCGTATTTCGTGTTGACGAACGCGTAACCCTCGACCCCGCCGAGAGTGGTCATCGGTCCTCTGCCGTTCGCCACGTAGTGCATGGTCACCGGCGCAGCTTGGAGCCTGTCTTGGACGATGGCCACCGGCTTGTCTATCAGGAACGTCAGGCCGCCCATGCCGACGTGATCCTGCAGATTGTCACCGACGCGGAGGTCCTTGATCACCGGTATGCCGACGTGACGAAGGTGCTCCTTCGGCCCAACGCCGGACAACATGAGAATCTGAGGGCTGTTGATCGCTCCGGCCGAGAGGATCACCTCCTTCCTGGCTCTCACTATCTGTCGACGGCCGTCGCGCACGAACTCGACGCCGGTCGCTCTCATGGTTAGAGGATCGATCAACACTCTAGTCACGTGCGAGTTCATAGCGGTGTGGATGTTCCTGCGGAGCCTGACTGGCCTCAGGAACGCCTTCGCCGTGGAGCATCTGCTCCCTCTGCGAATCGTCCCTTGCGCGATCATGAACCCGGTCTGTTGCTCCCCGTTTATGTCCCTGTTCTCGTAACCCATCTCCGTGCCCGCTTGGACGAACGCCACCACCAACGGTGTCTTCCACGGTGACTCCTGCACCGTCAGGTAACCGCCCGTCGAGTGGTACTTGCTCCTCTGCAGATACGGATTCCTGTTGTCCTCGGACTTCTTGAAGTAGTACAACGCCTGGTCGTATCCCCAGCCGGGATTCCCCATGGACTCCCAGTGGTCGTAGTCGTGCCTGTTCCCTCGAACGTAGAGCATGTAGTTGAGCACGCTCGAGCCCCCTAGAACCTTGCCCCGTGGCCAGTTGCAACGACCACCGTTCATCGCCAGACAGGCTGTCCCCGTCGGTTCTGTCTTGTACTTCCAGTCTAGCTTCGTTAGCTGAAGATAGGCCGCCAGCGAGGGCACGTCCGTCACTTCGTTCTCGTCTGGCCCAGCCTCTAGTAACAGAACGTTCCACTTTGGGACCTCTGACAGCCGGTTGGCCACCACCGCGCCCGCCGAGCCTGCACCCACCACTACGAAGTCGTATTCCGGGTAGAGAGGGTATCTGTCGATGGGACGACTCTCCGGGTCCAGTTGATCGTATCGATAGTAGGACAGGCCTGCTATCAGCAGAGGGATTAGCCATAGACTGGTGCCCACTAGGCCCAGAGCACCCTTCAAGGCCGACGTGACGACGATCGCGCTGAATACCATCTTCTCTTTCGCTGGTTCGTCCGTTCTTTTTCGTTGGCGCTGAGAGTTGGCTCGATGGTGTGTTTGTCATCACGCAGGTTGTTGGTGCGTTTGGATGTTTAGGTGGATGTCTGGTGGTCTGGTGTCGAGTTCGTTGGTAAGGCGGTGTAGGTTGAACGGTGCGCCAGAGTTTCTCGCGGTCTTCATTGTAGGTTTGGGAGTTTTCGTGGCCGTTGTGTCGTGAGAAGTATCGTCCTCCTGTAAATAGAGGAATGAGGTATTTTTTTTAGGCTTTTTCTTTGAGATATTTAGGATAAAATAGAATTTAGATGTATTTATGAATTTATAAGTATTTCTGAATTGATACAACCGTTACAAGTGAGCGGAATTTTTTCATGACGATTATTGTTATTATTGTTATATATGAAATATTATTTTTTTCAGCTGTTAAATCGACGATAGACGAATTATTTGCAGAAAATATATTAAACATTTATTATAATATTTTAACAAGATTGTACTATATTTAGTCCTATATATTTTCATAATATATTTTTTTCTTAATAAAACGTATAGTAAGTTTTACAATCAATATTTTGTATGTTGTCAATGTATACTAATTATTGACAATAATTGAATACAACCAAAGAAGTTTATTCATAAATAATTGTTGGTTACCAGAATAAAATTCGGGTAATAACTAATAACCAAAAGGGATTCCGGTTATTTATATTTATATATTATTTGTATACTGTTATAAATATACAGGAGAAACTTTCTTTTGAGATACATACTAAAATTGAATGTAAAGAGGAAAGAATTACAATCAGTGTGACACACTCTACAATATAGAGTATAGAATAAAATAATCTATGAAACGAGTATATGAAACATAAAATATAAAATAAATAAACTATAGAATAAATTCATCAAGTAAAATGGTTCTTTGTACATAATAAATATTATAGTATTATATTATATAACCAAATGCTTCCAATTATGAAATAAATTGGTCATATAAAATGGTTATTTGTATGAAATAAATATGGTAATATTTTATTACATGGTTTAATATTGTGGTTTATTATATGGTATAATATTATTTATATACTATATAAAATATAATATTATATTATTATACTATGATGTATAATAATTTTTGTGATTAATAATTATAACATTGTAAACTATATAATTATAATCATACACAATACAAATATATAGTATACAATATTATAATATTATAATATAGTATATTAGTAGTATATTAGTATATTATTATTATAATATTATACTATAATACAATTATAGTACAAATATTATAATATTGTATACTATGTAAGTAGTAATCATATAGTACAAACTACAAAATAAATTGCTCAAATAAAATAGTCATTGATATAAAATAAATATCATACTTTTATAGCATGTATTATGATATATAATATTGTAATATTATATATTATATTGTATATATTACTTTATGATATTGTAATAATTTTTTATGATTAATAATTAATATTGTCATGTGATATTACATACTACATATACTATGTAGTATAATTATATTACTTATAGTATAATTATAGTTATAATACTATTAGATATAGTATTATTTTATCAAAATTTTGTTAATAAAAAAGGAGGCAAGATCAGTGAAACATGATAAAATGGAATTAGTGTTAAGTCGTGCGATGTCGAGTCGAATCGCATATGTTGCCAATTAGAGCCAGCTTCGTGTTTCCTACAATTTTCTTCCTTCCTTCCTTCCTTCCTTCCGCATCGTCCAACAGCATTCGTAACAGATGGTACCGAAACATGATTTACCAACGCTGATTATCGGCCGTTTCCTTTCCCTCGCTCCGTGAGAAAACGCTAAACGTCCGGCATTTGAAAGGTCCGTGATTCAAGCGGTGGATCACGTCGTGCAGATCCTCGTTCGCCTCGATTGAAAACCGGTGCTTTGCGCGCGCGGGTACAAATCGTTCCTAATTGGTGCTTTCGTCAGTCGTTTGTTCCGTTTCATTAGCAGAGCCGTAGAGATTTCTGTTGTAACCACGTTTAAATGATTTGGGATGAAAGTATTACATTGTTTATATTATGCATTATCATGAGTAGTTATATTATGTATTATATATCATGAATACATATTATATTACAAAATATAAATTGTATTTGTACGATAATAATGCTAATTATATTATATTATATTATATTATATTATATTATATTATATTATATTATATCATGAATAGATATAATTATAGTATCTATGTTATACTATAATATAAGTATAGTATATAATGATGTAATATTAGTATGGTAATTCTAGTAATTCTATTATATTATATTATATTATATTATATCATGAATAGATATAATTATAGTATCTATGTTATACTATAAGTATAGCATATAATGATGTGATATTAGTATGGTAATTCTAGTAATTATATTATAAATAGATATAATTATAGTATTTATAATATAATACTATACCATACTATAAGTATAATAATATATATAATGATATGATATTAGTATGGTAATTTTAGTAGTTATATATAGATATAATTATAGTATCTATAATATAATACTGTACTATACTATACTATAGTATAATATAATGTACTATAATATACTATAATATTATATTATAATATATTATACGTGTAGTACAAATGATATGATATAATTCTAGTATATATAATGATAATGATATGATACTAGTATGGCAATTCTAGTATATATAATGATAATGATACGATACTAATATGACAATTCTAGTATACATAATGATAATGATATGATACTAGTATGGTAATTCTAGTTCATGATCATAGTAAATTCTTCTTTACGATTACAATTTGGTCTGTTTTATTTATTTATATTGTAATTTCGTCTATTCTGTTTGATTATTTATTTCACAATTCCATTCATTTGTTTTGTTTGCTTTATTTTGTTTCTTTGCATTATAGTAATTTTATCTATTTCTTTATTGATTTGCCCACCTCTCTCTACAAAAAGAAAAGATGATGTGCTCTATGTTTCTGCGTTAAATTCTAAAACAACTTTCGTGCATGAGCATAAAACTGGTCGTTTCGTGCGACAATTGGAGAAACCGATAAATGAATACACGGCTGAAAGTGAACTAGCTTCACTTTCTTTTGATTTCGAGGCTTCACCGTAGGCGTGCAATCTTCTGTGAATCGAGAGGATATTTTATTTTATCCTTTATACTCGTCGAAAGTTTCACCTTGTAGATTTCTACGAGCGTGTAATCTGTTACTCAGCCGATTGAGATGGTGCCTTTAGGAAACGGAACGACAGTAACGCAACTTCGGTTAATGGACTTTGGTTAATTAACAGCGCGGAGGCTGCGTTTAGCAATAAATTAACCCAATGGGTTTGCCAATCGAAGTTGCAACTGGCTGTGTGCGTTAGCATCGGTGAACCATTAGTAGGTTTTTACGTAAACCTCTATTTTCAGAATCGTAACTGAAAACGTAATTAAAGTAGAATTTAAATACAGATTTGGCTTATTCATTAAAAATAGATTAAAATGCTGAGTGATAGGTTGTTTCATCCACTGAACGTTGTACAATTAATATTCTATATATAATATTTTGGATTCTCTTTATATTGTACTATTGATTCTCGAATTAAAAAGCAGATAGTAATACTTACTAGTGTGAGTATAGTATATCCTATAGTAATATTTAATTTCCTATACTATATTAATACTATAATAATATACTATATACTAATATACTATAATGTTAGTAGTAGTAATACTATTATATTAGTATAATATTACTATAGTACATACTATACATATTGTAATATTTAATATATATACAAAATATATTAATATTATATACTATATGCTATATTAATACTATATATATTATATTAACACTATATAATACTATATAGTATATATTAATATATACTACAGTAACTATAGTATACTATAGTATTTTTTAGTATTTAGTAGTAACAGATTATACTATAGTGTAATTCGTTAGTATTAC